TCTCTCTGTGTGTGTGTGTGTGTGTGTGTGTGTGTGTGTGTGTGTGTGTGTGTGTGTGAAAGATGTGGAGGTAGGAGGGTAATGCACAGCCGTGAACATACCATTATAGACGGTAGGAGTTGGCTTGACGCAACATGGAAATCTGGCACTGGTACCCATCGGCTCTCCGGTAGGGGCATACTGGAAATTTGGCACTGGTACTGGTAGGGGCATATTGAACATATTTCAGGCCCAATTGATGCCAGGGTTTTTTTGGAAACTTGAATCGTCGTCGGAGGGGCAAATCAGGGTAAGTCGGCCGTCGGAGGGGCAAATCGCAAATAAACGCGAACTTCAGGGGCATTTCAAAAATTTTGCCAAAATTTTTTTTTTCAAATTTAGCACGTAGCCGTGACTCATGCAACATCGTAGAAATCAAACACATGCACATTGCCGCGCTTAGTCATTGCAGCAAGCGGTCACTACCCTCTTCGCCCGAATGTAATGTACGGTGACGACCGTCATTATGGCTGTATTTGGTGCGACAGATGCAGCGAATAATGACCGAATAATGACCTTGACCGTACATTGTACGTCCGGGGACGACGGCAAGCTAAGGAAGAGAATGTGGCTCAAACTCTGTTCGCTTGTGTTAATTACGAAAATGTTCTTTTTTTTTTTTATTATTAGAAAACTACACTATGTTTTTCTCTCAAATTCGTTTTTGCCTTTCACTACCTTCCTACCACTACTCCTAAGACTATATAGAGGCTGTCTCTTATACACATCTAGATGTGTATAAGAGACAGGAGTAGGACAGTTGCTCCCCCCCCCCCCCCCCCAAAAAAAAAAAAAAAAGAATCATGAGATACCTGGGCCATTACCCAGCTTCGGCTGAGAATAGCTACTACAAGATTTTCAGGGGGGCGGCCGCTATCAGAAGACCACAAATCTATTGCGTTGAAATTGGGATATCAAAAAACTTATTCCGTATGTAGGAAATTTCAGGGCCGAAGCCAGACTCCCCTAGTGCCAATCAACAGCCGAACCCTAAACCTGCCTCAGCCCTCCTGCCCTCTATACCTTGCCTCTACCAGGCATCACAACCCCAAGTACCATTTTTTTGAGTCTTTTTTAACAAAAAGTTGCTGCTTCCCACCCACCAATAATAGATTGGAGCGACCTACCCCAACAAAAAAAAAAAAAAGGAAAAAAAAAAAAGAGTCTTTCAGCAAAATTGGTCAGTGTGTAAGGTTCCGTAAACTCATCACTTTTCTATTCTAAACTCATCTCTCTCTCTCTCTCTCTCTCTCTCTCTCTCTACAAACATTGCCACTTTATCCACTCCCAATGGAAGATCTCCACTTTGTCTAAAAATAATCCCACAGCCGGACGATAAAAATGTGGTCCTCCCGTCTTGTCTTCTCACCAGTGTTTTTTTTTTTTTTTTTTTTTTTGTGCTTCTGCTCAGGATCCTCTTTTGCGCACAAGTACAGCCAGAGGTCCTTCTTAACAAATGGGATTTCACTGAGACCATGATACAACTGCATTCTGCTTTAGATCATACTTGAGCCAGTGTACAAATGAAAGGACTGAAATAAAGAGCAGCTTCTGGCAAGTTGTGGCAAACATTGTCTTTTTTTTTTTTTTTTTTTTTTTTTTTTTTCGGAGCAAGGGTCCAATCTATTCGTGGGGAGCAGCACGTGCTGGGAGCAACCGGGCCCAGCAGCACGTGCTGGGAACAACCAGGCCCAGCGCTCGGCGATCCGCTAAAGATAACTGATCCAGCCGTGGGTGTTTCTACATGATCTTCAGTTAACCAAATAAATATGAACTGGTACCATAGGTACTCTCACTGCAAAGTCAATAATTATTTAAGATGCAAAAAAAAGCAATCCACACAGCATAGTTAACTAAATTCTGTATTCTTTAGGAGTAGTGGTAGGTAGGTAGTGTGAGGTGAAATTCAGAGAAGAATATAGCTTTTAAAAAAGAAAAAAAGAAAAAAAATCTGTATTATTTCTGTTGTTAATAAGGGCCAGATCCCACTAGCCCCTATTATTCATTTCTGACCGTTGATCTTCGTAATCGAGGGTCAAAAATGAACAATAGGGGCTATGGTCTTCCCCCGAACATAACGCACCCTAAAAATGAATGTATACAAGCTATATTTCCGGCCAGATACAGCCAAAATAAGGGTGCGTTGTGTTCGGGGGAAGACCGTAGTGGGATCTGGCCCTAAGAGAGATCGCTGCCTCTTCATTTGTAAAGGAGTAAATAGCTCTTCGTCGTCGGGTGGAGCTCAAAGTGGTGCAACTAGTGTTGGCCTCGAAGATGCTCGTCCAGCTTCCGCATTGCCTTGACCCTCTGTGACACAGCAAAGCAAACACATTCCAGATATTTCACACAAAACCACAATAATTTATTATTCATGACGACGCATTCATATCGAACACGTGAGCATATTGTTGTCGCACTTGGCTGCACTCGCCACCAAAGTATGACACTCTGACTAGGCTACCAGAGTGGGTCCGGGACCACATGCCCGGCTGGGCCTTTTTTTTTTTTTTTTCCTCCTTCTTTTTTTTTATCTTGGTTCAAAATAGTGACGAAAGGAGGACCACCTCTTCAGCCAAAATCTGGCCGTCAGATAACCCTGATTGAACTACCAGTACAACCTCCTATCTTCTTCAAAAAAGCTCTATTCAAGCAGATACCCGTACTTCTCTATTTGTCATTGAACCCCTTGTATTGCAACGCAGAAATGAATCCTAGGCATACTTAAACCACCAGTACCTGGCCCAGCTATCGAGTCCGAGCCTCGGCCAACCGGTACGCCGATCCGTGCCGAGGCTCGGACTACTGGGCGCAGGCATCCGGAACGTCGGAGTGAAAGAACGGAAAAAACGGAAAAAAAAAAACGGAAAAAAAAACGAAAAAAAAAAACGAAAAAAAGTATGGCAGTGTATATTCCCACGCTATAGCTCCAGATTCGTTTGACTTTGCTCATCCTATGGAGGGTGCAGTACCATGAGGCCAGCCGCGAAGAGAGAGAGAGAGAGAGAGAGAGAGAGAGAGAGAGAGAGAGAGAGAGAGAGAGAGAGAGAGAGAGAGAGA